TTGCTGGTGGTGATACGTTCCTCCACTCCCTTTTCCACACAGAAGCTGATAAAGTTGACCAAAAAGATCTCAATCAGTGTGTTTGTGGCTGGCTGGAATTTGGTCTGAGGATCCACGAAGCCAAGATAGTCCTTCAGTCTTTGAGATGCATGGACCACACCTTGGCTGAAGACTTCACAGATGACAAGAGTTTCAGCCTTGTTCTCCTGGTTGTCCTCGTGTGAGACCTTCTGGCCCATTTTCTCTGCAGAAGGAAGTTGTTTCCACATGCAGACCACCTTGGGGAAGACCCTTCCCTTTTCAGTGAAGGCTCTGTAGGTGCTGGGCTCAGCCAGACCTATTACCTATGCACATGGTTACCTGCCACCTTCCAAACGAAGGTCATGACAGCAGCAGAGCTCTGCGAGCAGTCTGCCGTCCCACCAAGCAGATGGGCTTTCTCCTGCGTGTGTTTCTCCACAGCTGCCTGAGCAGCGACCAGCCAGACAGGCCCAGTAACTTTCACACCTACTGAATTAACCTGTGCTTGTTTTCCTTATTGTTCATTCCGGCACCATTTATTTAGCTGATGCTATCGCATTCCAGTCTGATCTTATCTCCTTTGACCTCCTTTCTAGGACTATTACAGACAAGCCATTTTATTGGCACTGGGTATTTCCCAGAGCTGAAACAACCTCTTTCTTTTAACCCCCAGAGAAGGGTATGCATCCAAACCTCAGGACTTCTACAGGGTGCTCAAAATGACGCGGTGGTCTGTTTTGATGGGCCGAATGTCTGTATCCCAATATTAACTGCCATTACTGTCAGCAGCTGTGCCATGGCAATGCACATGGGCTCAGCTGGGCTTTCGACTCAGCCGAGAAGCCCATGATGCTGCTGCTTTTAACTGGATTGTCTCAGGGATGCTTGGACAGTCAATGTACTGCCATGCACGACTATCAAATATACCTACAGACAAAACAAGCTTCCTAACCTTAAAAAATTCAGTCTCCCTAGCTGTGAAAGCTGAAACATATAGAGCCAGCCCTGGTGGTGCCAAAGGTCCCTTCATCAGCCCAGGCCCCCACCATCAGTCCCAAGAT